TTTTTGGTAGTGGGGGAAAGGGCCACCTTGTGATAAGCTTTGAAAGTTCCCCTGGATCCAAAGTGTACCCCCCCAGCCCAGGCTGAGCAACTAGAGAAATGCCTCTGTGAATCCATATTTGTAAGGGGAAGGACTGTCTTGAAAAGAGGAAGGTGGAGAGAACCTGGAGCAGAGGCTATGAACCTGAACAAAAGACGACCATTGGCCTAAACAAAGAGAGAGCTTCGTTGCCAGGAGGAAGGAGGAGGAGAGGGAGGACAGAGAACCTCAGACACCCAGTTCAACCTCATGGAGTAGGAGAAGGCAAAGGAGGTCCCCTGCAGCCCATGGAGCTTCAACAGCGGGGAAGATACCAATGTGTAAGCCATGGAGGACTACGTGTGAGGACACAGCCATTTTCTGATTTTTAGTTACCTCCAGTAATTACCCCACAGCGCTGCACTGGAGGCCCATCTGCAGCACATGGGTATCCCCATGCCAGAACCAGAAGCTGTGCCCAAACAGGTCCGTGACTCTATGGGAAACTTGCTTTGGAACACCTTGTGCCTGGATTTTCATGACAGGAAGAGCAGCAGAGGTGAACTGACCGAACCCCATTCCCTGTCCCCTGTGCTGCCTGGGGGGATAAGGTACAGAAATTGGGAGCAAAGTGATTTGAGCCCAGGAAGAAGGGAGGAGTGGGGGAAAGGTGTTGTAAGATGTGGTTGTTATGTCTTGTTACATTACTTAGATGAAATGGCAACGAATTAAATTGATTTTTCTTCCCCAAATTTGAATCTGTTTTGCCCATGACCATAACCGGTGAGTGAGTTATCCCTGTCCTTCATCCTAATCTGTGCCCCGTTTGTTGTGATCCCCTTCCCATCTCACCAGGTGGGGGGAGTGAGTGCAGGACCACATGCTCTACCTGTGGTTATACCACCACACTTGCTCACTTAAATGTTATAATACACAGAACCTTGTTCCTTGTTCAATAAAGAATAGTTCTTTCACACTTCTGATTGCTTGGTGCTGATGCACCTTTATTTTCTTCTCAGGAAACCAGAACCTGTGTCAAAACCAGGCTTGAACCCACGGTTCTCAAACTGGTCCGACAGGAAGGTCAATGTGTAAGAGCAGGTGGGTGACAAGCTTCACTGAGCAAGTTGAAGTCAACTATTTGAGTCTGTGAGTCTCTCCCAGCATATCCGTACATAGCTGTATCACATATCCGAGTTCACCATTTCAACAGTTTTTTAGCATGTTAATGCAGAAAAAATCTTTGTGTATTTTTCTAAAAACGTCCTCAAACTGGAGTGTGTGCAGCGCTGGAGGCACTTACTGAGACATGTTTGTGGGCAAACAGTTGGTACAAAATAAACTTTCCCAATAGGACTGTAGCAGATACTTCAAGTGCAGCTCCAGAGTTCAGATGGGCAATCAAGTTACTGTGGCATAAAACTTTTTCACACTTCAGCTAAGCTGTAATGACTGTTTGTGGATGTGTCTTTAGTTTATAGAAAATGACAATGCAGGGAAGAACAACATCCTGATCTAAATGGTAGATGAAGAAGATGTGCAGCTGTTGAATATGATGTGGTTTTGTGTGTGCAGCCAGGCAGACAAATGAAGAGGCTAAAGCCTCCTTAAATCCATGCCTGACAAGTCAGAAAGCAGACTAAGCTACTTCACATTTCTTCGCAGTTAGTTTAGGCTGAAAACAGGCATAAGGACAGCTGCCATCACTCAGTTAGTATGCAATAACCTATTCCTCCAAATAGACAGTGTGTGAATTTAGAGAACTGGTCCTACCACCTAAACCTACAGCATAAATCCTGCATAGTCACTTCCTTTGTCAGTTAGAATTAGAAATAGAGAAATAAATATATTTTTGAGTCCTCGAGTCCAAAGATGCAGATCAGCATACACAGATTCAGAGGCTCCATTCTGGCAGCATCTGGACTCTGGCAGTGGGTCTGTCCTGATTGAACACTTCCCTTTACTGACAGCCTTAGGGCTGGTTACAGGGGAAACAAAAAAAGGGACAATAGTAATGTGTAGAGCAGAAAGAGTCCTGCAGCAGGTTATTGGCAAATGACTTGGCAGGAAATTTACAGCTATATATGAAGCACTGCAAAAAAGGTTAGGAACTAAATTTAAGTCATGTTCCTCTCTGCTTCTGATAATATTTTTCAGACTAGTGGACTCACAACCAATTTTTGTTGCTGAACTTACTTCAGAACATTAGCTATGCCCATTTCAAATGTTTTTCTATTTGTTCTGTTGCTCTTAGTGATGAAAGAAAAGATTTTTTTTTTTTCATTGTCATCATCCTAAATCCCTTTAGCTTTATATTTGGAAAAGATTGTAAATTTAATTAAAAATGCCATTTAGAGGGGTATTTCTTATGCTTAGTCCAAGATTACATTTTTACACATGGAAAGTTTGTCCTAATTGTTTCACATGTAATACTTTTCGTGTTTAAAAAAAACGTGTTTTTTCCCCTCAAATGCGTTGTAACTGGCTCAATTCCAATATTACAAATTTGCTATTAGTCATCTCTTTTTCCTAAATAACTTAGTTTTCATAAAACAGGAGAACAACATCTGTTAGAACTTCTTGTCTTATAACAAGCTTATCTATCATTTACTTTACTTTTCACAAAACAGAGGGTAATGCCAGACAGCAGGGCACAGAACAGGTAGAAGCAGACTGAAATTCCAAGTATTCCTACTGGGGTATTCACTATATATTCGATAGTAGTATTATTGACTTTCCAGTTATATAGCTATCAGTTACTGGAATGGAAAGTAAAACTTACAGGAATTGGCCATTAGATCTACATAAATATATGTAAGTATAAGTGAAAAACAGACTGAATTACAATATGCATAATTAACTACCAGCTTCATATTATAACAGTACTGGCCAATACTGATGAGTTTGGGTAAAAACTGTAGAGGAAAGATGCACAGTTCAATTTATAATCACCTCTCCATGGGAAACATGGAGACAAAACAATAAAGAAAATGTTATTATCATATTGTAGCAGGGAGTAAAACTAAGGTGAAGTGGCATCTTCCAAAGCTTGAGGAAAATGACAAGGGAGGGTGAAAGACACAAGGATTTTACATCAGTAGCAATCTTGGTTCTGAGCTTTAAGGTCTACAATACTTCCAGCTTCTTGGCTAGAGGGTCCCAGCATCTTGGAAGGTAGAAGGCATGAGGCTGACTGGCTCCACTGCCCTGGCACTGGTATGGGCCGCACCTGACCAGGGCAATACACACAAACACTCTTCCTTGGCCTTTTCTTGCTATCATCATGTCGGGGGTGGGGGAATATCATTCATGCGCACTAGTGCTCAAGGCAGAGGACCCCATTCTCTATGTACAGTGAGCCACCTCCTCCTGGCACTCAAGGGGCTCAGTAATCACACGTAGAGAAACTACAGCTGGTTCCCCTCTATGCCTTAGATGCCAGACCTCTGAGTCACACTGCACTTCAACTAATTCCATAACATGAATCTTGGAAAGGTTTTTTAACTTGGAACAGTAGTGTGCAAATGTGGCTGTGCAAACGTGGCTGTGCCAATTCACTACTAATGAAGTCTTCCTGTGCTGCTTGCTTTTTAGAAAAATTCCTACTTAGGCCTTTGCTAGATGAAAAATTTCTTCTACATCATGCTTCATTATATAGTGTAGATATATGCTAAATATGTCATACCCACAGGGAGAAATGACAGTACTAAACAGTCAGAGCCTACTATACTGTACGTTGATTTCCCCACTTATCTGTCTGCAGCAGGGAGTCTGACATCTAATTAGTGCAAAACCCACCAGTCTTGTTAAGCTGTGGTCTCCCCTATTGCTAATATCGCTTCAGCTGGTCAGGTATTAGCCATGGTGGCATATTATATTTACAACTACTTATTCATTACAAAATTTCAGCTTCCTACAAATTCAGAACGGCAACTTCTTACAAACATCCCTCATATCTCTTCCTTTTTAGAAAAAGCAATAATGACATCTATTTTACATCATATGTTAAAGATGAGGGCATTCAGGTTTTAGTAGCTTCTCCTGAGCATAATGCTATTCAGGATTTATAAATTCAAGAAGGCCTTGTGCTGGCTAAAGGGACACAAACCCTCAAGTTAGCAGTAGGTTTAAACTGAGTTTGCAGTAAGTAGTACAAAACAGTGGTTATTTGCATGCCCTGCTACTCCGGATTTGGTGTTGGTTTAGCTGTGCCCATTGCTAACTGGCTTCTGTTGGCTTCATTGAATGATTTTTACAGTGCAGACATGATTAAATGTGTGTTAAAAAGCAAGCAGGGACAGTGACACTGAGCAACAGAAGTTATTTCTGCTCAAAGCAGAAGAATATGAAAGCTGGAAAGAGAGGGAGAGTATTATAGAGTCTAAAACGGTGTGACTGATCCATTCTTATTAGGAATGAATAAAAAAGTATAAATCTGAATTTAAAAATGTTTTCTAATGTTTCTGTAGAACATAGAAATTTAACAACGTGATGGGGATTTCATTAAAGGTGCAGGCTCAGGCTGAAAACCCAAACATTTCTTAAGGAAAAATCCTTCCATCAAAAAAATCAGTAGCTGCCAATGCAGCCTGCAGAAGATACACATGGAAGACAGGGATTGGGGATTATGGGGGAGTGCCTGTTTACTAATAAGAAAGTTTTCCATTTTAGAATCTTATTTAGTTCTGAAATGCTCCAGTAAAAAAAAAAAAAAAGTACACCATGTTTTCCATGTTTTCCTTTCTCATCTACATTTCTGTAAATGTAAAATAATAAATGTAAACCAATTTAAAGTACATTTAATTTCCTTTCTAAAATCACCAAGTTAGTAAAATACATTTTTCTTGTTTATCCTCAGAGGGCCCTATGCTCAATTAATACCATGGTGTATAAAGATTGTAGAACTGCCACTAGGTACAGAACATGACAGTGATGCTGTGAGCTTATTTTGTTAACTCAGATTATTGTTTCTCTGTGGTTACTTGCAGCAACTGTACAGGCAGACATGGCATGGTTATTCCTTACCAGCTCATTGCTGCCATCCTCATCAAAATCCTCCTCTATCCCATCAGTCATCTCTTCTCCATCCCCATCTGCATCTGGCCCCCCTTCAATTGGCTCTTCCGTAGAGTTATCTGCATTCTCTGATATGCATTCCTCTTGAATCAAATCAGCAGTATCTTCCATATGTTTCTTCTGAGCTTCTGTAAGGAAAACATACTCTATAGAGATTCAGTAACCTTCCTTATTGGTGGCAAAGAAAAGTGCTCTGAGGAAGAAACCATCTTCCTCATCTCTAGATGTGCTACATTTGTAAAAAACAGTGTGTTAATATCTACCAGGCAAATATGATCAAAACCCTTGTTTTCAAAAATTAAAGCATGCATCAACCATAGTACCAACATGCTCATCTATCCCATGCAGTGGATGAAAGCTTGATTTACCAGCGGATCCAGCTTTTTGATTTTCTGCACTTTGCTTTGCCTTGGGAATCCGAGTGGCATAGTCACTGTATAATCATTTATGTGCAGCCAATGAGAAGTACATAAATCTCTATGCTCTGAGAAGCAGAAGGCTGTTAATTGCCAATAAGTGAACAAGGATTTGCATAAATTTGCTGTGAATATCTCAACAACCATACAGATTATCAACAAATCCTTCTAGACAACTGAACATATTTTTTATGGACTAAGTAACAGTTTCTCCCCGTTGGTATAATGTGCCGAGTTAACTGGAGGGCTTCCTATAATTTCTGCAAAGTGGTGAAAAGAAAGACCATTTCCATGGAGGCCCAGAGGATATGTTCTGGTTGGCTTAGCGTAGATAGCTGCATTGCTGTGATTATGTATTGCGAGACTCTTGGATATGCTGAGGAATTTCATCCAGCCAGCAGAACTCCAGAGGAGGATTGAGAGAGAAATGACAGAGACAGTCTGTCCAGAAGAGTGTTTGGAGGGATGAGATTCTTATTCCTATGCATATCAGGAGTTTAGATTAAAAGCTTTATGTACTCAGAGTGAGTACAGTCCAGAGAATTGGTTGCATGTAGCTGGAATACCAATGTTTTTTCAGTCTGAGGGTGACAATATCCATCAAGGATGAAATTTCTAGAACAAAATAATTTCTTTCTTTGTTAGACTGACTGTTCTCTTACACTAGTAGTGCATTACCTATTTTGTTGGACAGCCAATGAATCTGCAGATTGCCTGTGAAGCTCTATTTTTCAGCTCTATAAATATATTATTATTTTACTATAAGTTATTACCAGCTGCATATAGTATTCAAATCTGCTCATACTTTTTTGTGTCATAGTCTTAAACCAAGACATTTGTTTTTCCTTCTATCTCTGCGCATTTATTTTGCAATTTACTTTCATGTCTTCAGTCTTTGTTAGTCTCTAATCCCTCATTTTCAGACTCATTTACTGAAGACACATAACAAATAAGATTTTCTCCTTTAGTCACATAATTTCTTCAGAAAGATTCTTGGATTTAAAAAATAAAATGTCATCTTAGATAACTGCTTTGACAGTACTGTAGTCACATATATTAGTAGAAGATTCAGCCCATGGAGCCTCATCTTCTATTGGTAAGGTTCTCTATACAATACTGTGCTAGTTATAGGTCACTGTGTTACCTTACTGCACAAGGAAATGTGGATTCAATCAGCTATGTCTACTATGTCCTGCCCCACCATCTTCTGCCTCAAGCCACTTCTGAGATTAACTCAGCTGTGGCAGTGACAACTGACTCAACTTTGGTCAAGGCTTTCAAAAAGGGTTCCTGACATTATGGACTTAATACATTTAAATGGCAAAACTTTTAGGATACAGCTGCTAAAAAATTAGGTCACCTACTTAATTGAGTGAGAACATAAACTGGGTTCTTCAGAGGAGGCTAAAGTACTTGCTCAGCACCTAACTCTTTTGGGCTCTTCTGAGAAGCTAAACTTAAGATCCTACCTTTCAGCACCCATCTCTGATATTACAGGGAGAATATACTCCTCAAACAATTTTTTTTACTTCAGGACAGCTTCTTATCCCTGGCTTCCTGATTCAGATTTTTTTTTTTTTTTTAAGGAACTGTTCATTCAGTTCCCCTGTGTACAGGAAATCCTCATATTTATATTCCCCCTATTGACATTGTCAGAGATTGATAATAATAAGAGACAGAACATCAGGCATTATTGTAAGGAGAGATTTCATGCAGCTGTAGAGCAGTAACCAATATATGCAGTGAGCTTGTCTAGCTTGGTTGTTTAACCTGTCACATTTCTCCAGATGTAAAACTTTTAAGATTAATAATTAAATATTCTTCATGAAAGTGATACAAATTTAAAAAACACCCCAAAGGGCGAGGTGATGGCTTGATTTTTGTTTTGTGTAAACAAGACACAGATCCTCTCTCTGATTCCCAGTCTTAGTGAGGCCACTCCTTCTGGCAGAGGAAAGTAAGAAATAATATTGCCAGACCATAGAGAAGGAACAAAATCATCTCACATTTGAAATGGTAAATGAAATAGTTCAGCTACTGACGTAGCTTTATCTTATACAAATCTTTTAACTGAGGAAGCAATCATCTGCAGACTCAATACCCAGGCTGCATAAGCCTCTTCATCAGCTGAGGAGATTTAAATGGAGATCCAGGTTTACTAGTATTGCCGAGGTATGGTTTCTTCTTGCACCTTCTGATGAGAGGCAAGGAATATAGGGGATGGGTTTTGCACCCAATGTTTTAAAACATTAACAATTCAAAACCGGTTTTTAATCTAAGGAGATTACTCATTGCTTGTCTTCAAACAGCATAACAGTATGATTCAATACAAAACAACATTTTCCTCTTTGAGTTGATTTCTATTTGAATGAGTTGACTACAGTCCTTTAGCAAAAGTGAAAATTGGATATCAAAGTACAATGACATACAGGTTGTTTTGCATAGTAATGGATTTTATATAAAAGCTCCCTGAAGCAAGGTTGTGCCATATCAGAGCATTTCAGTACATAAGTGATTCAGTGGAGTGCCTTGCAATTACATCTTCTCTGATGATACCAACTTTTACCTAACTTGCATAAAGTACAAAATAGAATATAATGAACACATATTGTGAACGGTTCTCCTAAAGAGAGATAATCGCACTCTGTACTAATGGTTTACCTTAGACTTGGAAAAAAACATTCAACATATTTTGTGAGGTAAACTATAACAGCTGAGGGATTGGTCCTTGTCTATCAACTTAGAAAATAATTATTAATAAAAGGTAAGGTGTTTTTAAAGAGCTTGTTTTGATTGTATGTGTGGTTTTTTTTTTGTTTTTTTTAAATTTATTAACCACAAAATATTTTTCTGTAGTGTTCTGGCCTAGGAAGACATTCATTAGAGTTATTTCTGAACACCAGCAGGAAAATTCTGGGTTCAGAGAGATACCCCCACAGAGGATCAGGAAATAGGACAGGCACTTGGGAACAGGAGGGATCCAGATCTGATATATATTTTGCCAGTGTCAGGTTCATGAACCTCAACACCTAATTCCCACCAATGTTTTAGACAGTCTTGATGGAGCTCTGTTTATGTGTCCTGTTGGGTCTTTTAGGCTTCACCCAAACGATTTGAGTTAGGCAAGGGACACAAATCTAAGTCCCAAGACACCCAGGCAGCTGTGGATTCTGAGTCAGAATTTATTTCACACATTTCAGACAAAATACAAAAAACATAAAAAGTTTTCAGAAAATGGGGGTGGGAGGGGTGGGGGGGAAGGAAGTACATTGAGATTTTTCATGAGATAAGACCTGCATTTCCCCACTGCCTCTCATCAAAATCAGCTCGCTAATACACAGCTCCTGTACAGAAATATACTGTGTTATTTGTAAGGAAATAGCCAAGGAAATACCATAGACAGCAGTAAGAATTTAGATTGTTTTCTATATATACTATGGTGAAAATACAACCTTATAACTGCTCAGCATGACTTTAAAGTGCTGCCAGGTGAGATCATTCAGATAGAAATAATTAAATTAAAAAAGTAGTGTTTGATTTTGTCATTCCCAAGGTTTGCCTCAAAACAAAGCATTTCAAGCCAGAGGAAAGCTGAACTAGGGGCACAATTGTTTTTTCAGAGATGCCACAACTTCACACAGTAGCTTAGGTTGGAAGATTTATCTGGACTCTGCAAGTCTAAATCCTCTTCAAAGCAGGACCAAACTCAAAGGGACCTTGACCCAGTGAGTTTTGAACATCTCCAAGGATGGAGCTGCTACAGTCTCTCTGGACAGCCTGCTACACTTCTTAGTTACTTCTCTTTTTCTTCTATCAAACAGGAAATTCCCTTACTGCAACTTGTGATTATTGCCTATTGCCCAGGCAATAATTCCTGATATAGACAATCTAATAATTCTTAATGTGGATAGCACAAGCATCCCCAAGGTCAACAACCTCTAGGTTCATTCTGTTCAGTCAATTTTTAGTGATGTTTTGTTTCCAGAATATCTAGTAAGAAACTTTTATTTTCTTTCTTTTTTTTTTTTCTCCTCTACTACACCATAGAAAACAATACTAAAAATGATGCTGTATGTTCTGTGAAGAATATTAATTTATTCTTCTAATAGTTCTACCTGAGAGTTAATTTACCTTGCTTCAGGCCTCCATTATGTAGCAAAATTTATGGAAGGTTTCTGTTCTCTCTGGTCTGTCTGCTTGACTGATAACTAGATTCTAATTTAATTCATTTGACTACAAATTGCTTTCACCTACCTGCTTCAGCTTTTTGCTGCTTTTCAATCTTTTCCAGTCTCCCTAGCAAGGAGTCAATTTTTGTTTTGATTTGGGTTAATTCCTTCTTGATTGTTTGCAACTCATCTGATTTCACTGTGGAAAGAGCAAAAATGCAAATCATGAAATAAACAAAACATTATTTTTTCTTTCCTCTGTAATATAAAGTCTACTGTCTCATTTCAGTCAGTATTTTTAGAGATTTAACTTTTTAAAAGAACATTCTTAGTTAAAAATGCTGACTCCTAGGAAATGACAGGATTCTAAGCCCTAAAGGCAAGAGGTTATATGAGGTATATTGCTCTGCAATAAGCATTTGAGGCAAAACATCTCAAGGGCATTCTTGGTAAATCCAAGTAATTTTTACTGAAAAACAGCCTATAGTGAAATAATGATTCAAATATGACAGACAGTTCACAATCTTGCAATGCTATTTTGCTGGACTATTTTGTAATAATAGCAACAATAATAAAAAGGTCCCTCACAGTAGCACTAGGTATTTCTCAAAAAGAGTGAATGGTAACATAAATGCTAGAGCAGCCAGGAATGCAATGTTATGTTCCAGCTAACAACTTCATTCCAATAAGTGTTAAGTATTATTGCTTCAAAAGCTTTCAGTTCTGGTAATTTCTTGTACTTTTTCCAGGTATGGATAACAAATGAAAATATTTCTTTCTATGATCACGTCCAGGGATGCGGAGGCAATGCCTATAAATTAAGAGCTGAAATTTCCAAATCTTTGTTGCATTGAATTACTCTTCATTTATTGCATTCCCATTGTCTCATGTAAGAAGGAGTAGCTGCTTTGGAGGTGTTTTGGCTTCAGAAGAAACAGCACTGCAACACTCATGAATGACCTCATTATTTTGACATTATCAGGACATGTTTTTATGCTCAGAAGATAGTCCAAACAAATCCACTTGCCCTGTCTGTGCTAGGATATCGTGTTGAAAAGGCCAAGAAGAAAAAATGGGAACCCTGTGCTAGCAGAGGAAAATAAAGCCATTTATAAAGGTCAAGAGTAGATACCACAATTATCACTCTTACAACTCTTATAGGAGGAAATGGACTATGACCTTAAACTGTGAGGGACTGGTAATGGAAGAACAATGAGCAGTATTACTCCTCCATCCTTAATGTTACAGAGAGAGGACGCGCATTGACTTTGGTGTGTGTATCCAGAGCAGTGGGAGGGTTTTTTGGGACCCTGGGAAAAAGACTGGTCTGCTATGGAGAAGCACATGTTCCCTTTCTGCCCAAAGGGTCTCTGGCTACATCTTGCCATATCATTCCTGTTCATTGACTCTTGAGCATGTGTACCTGATAATTGAGTCTCATGGGTATTTTCATCATCAGTCAAAATCTGATTAAGTGTGCAGGCAAGGTACTGCCTGCTTCAGTGGTAGTAAATGACTATGTGTTTGCTTCAAAATCAGCCTTACTGCAAACTTAGAGCACATTCACAGAGGCTGAAACCAAGGCTCTTTAACTTAGAGTTTGAGTCATGTGCTTTATAGTTATAACAAGTCAGCTAAAGACAGTAGGTTGTTCTATGGGATAATGAACTTGTTTAATCATGTGTTCATATTGAGAAATTGCATATCTCACATTATCATAGGCTGAAACCTCTGGTCTTGTATTGAATGAATGGTAGGATTTAGAGAACAAAGCTTATAAGTAGTCTTTGTGCTAGACCCTTATAAGCTATAGAGTATTTGATGGATTTTTTTTTTTATATTTACTGAGCAAGGCCTTAAAATGTTCTTAGCAAAATAACAGCTCATTGTCCAGTCCCCTCAATATGTAACAAAACATTAAGATTCTGACAACTGTGTATTTAAAAGGTTACTCCTTCCCCAGGGGCAGTTGTTGAGCCATACTGGAGTAGCAAGGCAGCGCAAATCCCAGGCTGAGATGATGTGAATCTATCTAATGAGGAACACTAAGTGTTTGCTGCAACCTGCTATGAAGCCAGCTGGCAACACATCCCGTGTGGCCAAACTGTTGTGTTAGAGTTGTTTCCTTGACTGGCAAACACCAGGCTTGCCAAGGCATAAAAGGTCAAAAGTCAGAAGTGACACTGCAAGGACCTGATGGTATTTGTTCCCAGTCTAAAAAGTAAAGCAGAAAACATTTTCACTTCTGTGTTTGCTAAGGAAAGAGGCACATATATAGGGCTATTGTTCAACTCAAGTCAAACCTGCTGCTTCACAGGGGCTTTCCTGTGGTGTGTCAGTGAGAACTTCTTCTTTTTGAAGAAGACTACACCAGAGGGAACACAGATACAACAGTGAGGATTCAGTAACAAAGATGCTATAAGTGACTGAGGAGATTTATTGCTACCTTGCAAAATTCTTCTATACCAAAACTGTTTCCTCAAGATTTGGTCACTGAATGTACAACTTAATCCCATTTAATGGGGTGATTCCATCATAAAATCACTTCAATTTAACACTAAAAAAGACTGAAAAAAATTTGTACAAATTTTCAAAATCATTCTCATAGAAAAATTCTACTCTGCGTTATGTTGTACTGGGTATCTCTGTAGTAAGCAGCAATTACTATAGACAAATTATGAAGGGTCCTGATGGGCAACAAGCTGAATATGAGCCAACAATACGCTCTTGTGACAAAGAAGGCCATCAACATCCTGGGCTGCATCAGGAGGATTATTGCCAGCAGTTTGAAGTAGATGATCCTTCCCCTCTACTGAGCACTTGTGAGGCAACATCTAGAGTACTGTGTCCAGTTCTGGGCTCCCCAGTACAAGAGGAAATGAAGAAGACAAAGCCAGACTCTTCTCAGTAGTGCCCACTAACACATCACAGACCACTGGCACAAATTAAAGCACATGAAATTCCATCTAAACACAAGAATTTATTTTTTTTTTTTTTTTAATTTTTTTCCCCCTGTGAGGGTGGTCAAACACTTGCACAGATAGGCTGTGGAAGCTCCATCCTTGGAGACATTCAAAAGCTGTCTGGATACAATCCTGGGAAACATGCTGTAGGTGACCCTGCTTGAGCAGGGCAGTTGGACCAGATGAGCTCCAGAGGTCCCTTCCAACCTCAACCATTCTGTGATTCTGTGATTCTGAGGTATAGAGCTTGGGAAAGAATTTAGGCTTTTTAAGCACAGTGTTATGACAAAGAAAAAAATATAAACTCTGTAAATACTGTGCTTCAGATATCCTACTTTAAGTATACAAATTGTCCTTTAAAACTTAATGGATTTTTTTTTTAAATTGATCTCAGGCAAGAAATAAAGCACTTGATAAACATGAAACCAGAGCTGCATGTGTTCAAAATATCTGTTCATCTGCTTTTGAGTAATGGAATAGGAAAATAAAGTAGCTTACTGCCTTTTTTTAAGGTTTTTTTTGTTTGGTTGTTTTTTTTTTTTTTTCCTATTAACAGATAAGCAATGGGAAGCAGATGTCAGAAACGCTGAAAGGGAAAGAAATTGCTAACAGAATTCCTCAAGCACTGGCACCAAAATGGCTAAATATCTTCAACAACTTTGATGCAAAAAAGTAAATAAACAGGAGAAATTTTCTGATGACATGAAATTGGAAATATCATCTCTTCAGGGTGAACTGGAATGGAAGGAAGAGTGAGGTGATTTTAAGGAAGGCTACATTAGAAAAAAGGTGAAATGTAATTGCACTGAAAAAAAGTCCTACACTTGACTGACTAACAGCAGAACTTCTACTCCTAACATTGAAGATCATCAGTGGGAAAAGTCAGTGACAAAATTATCCTCAGGTGTAGTTGTAAACTGAGCTTGACAATAGGCTATCACTATAATGCAGCCAAGAGGAAAAAAACACAGTACTAGGATGTGTCAAATGATGTATTGCTAAAGATGGGGAAATATAATGCCACTGTACAAGGACCTGGAGAGAACTCATCTGGAATAATGTGTACAGGTTGAACCATTGAATTCTAGCAGGTACATGGGGAGAAGGGCCGTGAAACTGAGCATAAGAATGGAAAACCTGTAGTGTGACAGAAGAGTTTTGCTTGTTTGCCTGAGACAAAAGAAGATAAAAGAAAATAAAACTTTTGAGCTAAAGCAGTGTTGGCACAACAAATGGATATGAACAAGTGAGAAACAAATTTAAGCTGGAAATTAGAAGAAAGAGAGACAAACAAAAGCTGAACCTTAACTAGCTTTAAGATGGAGCTTAAAGATGATGTGGCTACTTGCAACAGTAAGGAATTAGATTCAGTGATCCTTTCCAGCCCTCTGCCAGGAATACAAGGGCCTTCCAGAATGCATCTTTCATTGAAGCATCTAGCACCAAAGGAGACAAACTGCATCCAGCTCAAAACAAAAGATTTAAATTGAGGTCAATCACATTTTTAGAAATAAAAGTGCTACTGTTGGATTACAGCTATATTTGTGAACCATTTTTTTTTTACCATAAGTACAAATTGATTCATCCACAAAGCATGATTCAGATTTCTTTGGATATAAATGTCACATATTTGTATCTAAGCCCTTCACGTTTAATGTAGAATATTATATCATGTTGTATTTCTTTAGGTTTCACTGAAAAATGGGTTAGCTGATGAAGCTAAATATAAACTACATGAGTCAAAATGAATTAGTTTAAAGGCATAATTCAGTACATATTGTAACATCTTAAGTTCTACTCCTTAATCTCAAGCACATAGAGTATCAAACATTTGATTAGTGCTTTCCTCCTATTTCCAGTTGTGTGAAATGAAAGTGCATAATCCAAGAGCTTCAGTTTCTATATTGGCAGAAAAAGTGAGCTTTTTCCAGTTCTAAATAGCAATCTGCATCTGCTGCTTCACACCATTAACATGAAGAACTAATAGGTATAATTTCCACACTAATATGTTTCATTTTGTGAGTTACTTCTGATAATGTGAGAAGGTAGATTTATTTTTTTCTAGTCTTTGGAGTTAAAAAGCAAACAAAATATTGTTGACTGATCCTTGAAAAAATTATAGATTCAGGAAATAAATAAAATCTTCCTAACTTATTTTGTGTTTTGGAAGCAAACTTGGAACACATATTGGCACATTTTGGTAGAGAATTTGCTGCATTGGCAGATATTATTTTTGCAAATGTACACATCGATAAGCAAGGCATTTTTGGTATTATGTTTTTATAACATCTTTGCTGTGTGCTACACCAAATTTCAGGTTTTGGATTGCTAGTTTTCAGAAGTAAGTCCCTCTAATCTTGTTAATTTCACTGAGGACTCCTCTGTGTTCTGACTAATATTACATGTATGGGTTCATTTTCTGGATCCAGTCTGAATGTGAACAGCTATGAGAACAGTTATGCCTATGAGATTTCTCCTTATATCTGAAAAGTATATTAGAAGATGTGATCTTATGAGAGTTTTCATGTTTGGGGTTAAAATCTTTCAAGCATAGGCAATACCATTTTGATATAGTTAATTTTGAACCTGCGATTAAGCTCTTTTATGGTCTTGAATTTCATTAAAACCCAAAATAGCTTCCTTCACACAAACTATGTTACCTGTTATTGTTACCCCTTATTGAAGAGACCCTTATTTAACTAGCAACAAATTACAATTAAAATCAACAGTGCATTAGTTCAAGGAGTTAAGATTAACAGTATAGAGTAAGGGGCAACAAAATATTAAATTGCTTAATCTCACAATTCAGTATAACCAACTTATCTGAGAAAATGGCAAAAGAAGCTGCAAAACACACATTCTCCAGTTTCCAACTTGAAACCCCTAAGGGAATGACTCTGTTATTTCTCTGATAAATGTCTTACAATAAGCTGATTACATTCCTGTCCAAGTCAACAAAATCATGTTTCTGCCTTTTTGATGGGTTGGTTGGACTTGACAAAAAGGGAAGTAATTCCATGGGGAAATCAAGCATGGAAGTCTGTATACTGTGTATCTGACTCCTTTTAAAGGTGTGCTGCAGGCAGAAAAAACATTTTCTGTAATTTATTCCAGCATGATAAATAGTTTCTGCAGTTGTGTTCCAATTGCCATTGTAAAGAACTTACAGTGGAAACTCAACGAGAGTCAAAACATCAGCGCACATTTTTAGTGGTGCATCTTGCAGTTATCCCTTCAGTGTTAAAGAGCTGGATCCAAAGAAGATCTTGTCACCCGGAGCTCTAAGACTGACATTTTTAGAATTCATATCACACCTGAATACATTGAAGGATACATTCACCAGGTCATAACACTGTCAGGATCTTTACACTCCTGATTGCACTTCCATTAAATAATTTACAGGTTCTGCAACATTTCCTATGTTATGCAGACAGTGTTTTGGAGGTCTTATAGCAAGTGATTATGGGTACTCAGATTAGGGTTGAATCCTATAATCTATGTTATGCATTACTTAAGTCCTGACATGGTGGTACAAAACATTTTCTGAAATGCAGAATAAATAATAAAGGAAATTTGGTGATTATTCTGAGGCACACATATTTATATGTTAATATAATGTGCTCTGTCCCTTTCACTACAATGAAAATCCAGATTTCTGGGTGAGAGATTTCCTTGACATCTGTTGGGATATACTAAGATCCTCAGCTCTCTAGAAGAATTACTCTTGTTCTGGAAAATGACAAATATATATAAAAATCTAATCTGAAAATAATTCATCTTCTCAAGGCAAAGTGAGTCCAAAAAGCCCATTCTTCTTAGACCATGCTTTAGGACAATTAGTGAATTCAATTCACTGATACTACTAACTTGTCATATGGATAAGACAGCAGTAAAGGATGGACAAAGGAGATATAATGAATGAATCTGTAAGTGTATATACATAATAAAGCTTTGATTCACTGTGTGAAAAGAGTCAAGGGCTGGAAAACACTAACAAAATTTCAGTTCTAAGTCTACTGAAGTGAAGATCTTGAGCTGTATGTTTTCTTTTAAATTAATATAAGGAATCATAATTCATTACTTAAAGTATTGAGGAAAGACAAAAAGCAGCTATGGACAAATGGATTATTTCAAGATGTGTATGAAAGTGTCTAAGCTCATGTTCATCCTCCAGAAAATAAAGGAAGTGTTGCTACTCCCAGATATCCTCTTAGGGTGCGAGTGAGCTCCATAACATTGCACCTAAATTTAGATGTCTTCCTGTGTCCTAGGTATCAAAGTACCCTTCATTGGTAATGGACATCTAGACAACTAATTCTCTAGAGACTTGTGTGTGATTCAACTGCACAGCCAACAGAGCCTCTCTTTCTCAGAATGTCATCCTTTCCAAGGAATGGCTTGAGCTCCTTGTTCCTCAGTGTACAACATTATCTATAGCTCTGTTTATCATATTTCCATTCTTTCAGTCACATACATATTTATTAAATGTTTTCTTTCAGGGCCTCTGATACCATCAGTTCATACAATAGGATCAAGAATGGATCCTAGTGGGCTCCCTAGAGCTCTATCTTTGTTAGATGCTAGTGTGTGAGATTTGGATATATTATTCAAACAGAGTGTATTGGCTCATGCTGATGCCATAACTAACCCCTCTTGTGGTAATATGTACTTATTTAATGATTGTGTTTAAGACAGCAAGATGCTTTGTTGGCCAGTCTGTTACTGCAAGTGTCTTATTTTGGTCCCTTCATTCTTTCTAATATCTGATCCCTACCTGATCTCTCTCTTCCTCTTCCAGTGACGCTTCCAAGGACTGTATCACTCCACATAAGGGGCAGGGGAAGACAGGTGGGTGCTGAAAGATGCACGAAGAGGAAGATAAAGTTCCCAGGACATACTATGGGGTAGGGAGCTTGGTGAACATGGAGGGGGGAATACCTATTGTTCATCAGCTCTTCTAAGGTCAACTCACTAAAGAAGGGTTGAATAACCCCAAGTTGCCAGTCCTGTTTTGGACTCCCTCTAGAACAGGCAAGGACACTTCGCCTCTTTCTACCTTCAAAGGAATCTGGCAAAAAAACCACACACAACCCAACCACCCCTGCCCCCCCACAGCCCACCCCCCATCAGCTCACATACAACCCTCAATTCTCAACAGAAATCAATGTACTTCTATCTATAACAAGGTTATTAGCTTTGCTTTATTTTCAGATGTTCATAAGACATCATGGTGCATAAACAGTCAGGATTATAGGAGATTTTAAACAGGCTTCTTCTGAGGCCAAGGGAGTAGGTCAAATGTTAGTTGAAGGGATTTCCTTCAAAAGTTGCATCAGTGTGCTCTTTGTCTTGCAGAAAAGGCATGGCAGCTTTGATAATCAAACCAGTTTTTCAGGCCAAAGGCTGAGGGTAGTAAATGACTGCAACAAAGCTGTACAGTGGAAGCTGTCTGCTTGCAGAGATTACTAGGTTCATTGTTTAAATAATATCCAACTGATGTGAGCAACTCACATTTGGATCCTGAGGAAGAGGCCCCACTTGAGGTGGATCGTGATGCTCCTTTCATGGAGAAAACCCCTTTTCCTCTGCGAGTTGTTGTCACAGTCACACGAGGACGCTTCAGTGGAATCACTGCACGGGGTGGTGGGGGGACACGACCATGGTAATCAAACAACCTAGAAAAGATTAAGTCAGCTGGACTCCATAAAACCTTCTGTGATTTCATGTCGTGAGAGCCCTGTCAGCTAAATTTTCATGTTATCTTTCAGAAAATTACGCTTTGAAACCATAATCACTTTATATCTCAGTCAAAATAGATTTCAAAGACCTATGCACAAGAAGAATAATTACTGGGTGTAACTTAGAAATCAAATTACAGCATTGTTCATACATTAAGGAAAGGTATAATGTTGAAGAAGATCCCAGGGAAGTATGCAACTGGTATACAAAGAATCCTCTCCAAGGAGGATTCCTGGAGACCCTGGTCTGCATATCAATATGGAAGGTGGAGAGGAGTGAAGAACCCTTGGCCAAACCCTGTCAATCACTGCAGAAGCTGATAAGCCATCTGTTTGCAATCCTGGGCTGACAGTCTGGCACCCTTTAAACAAATGCCATCCTTCTGTCAACTTTGAATAAACTTTGTGATGATAATACCAAAACACACCTCTGGCTCAAAGGCCTCCAGCCTCCAAGATGTGACCACTCCCCTACTGAGCGTACACTCTGAATTTTATGTAACCTATACCTTAAAAGGGAAAAAAAAGAGTTTTTACCAATCACAATAAAAGTCACTCAAGCTCCACCTTGAAGGTAAAAACGGTATAAAAGTAGCCCAGAGAAAGGGGGATGTCAGGGAGATACCATCACAGACAAGTCAGGGAAGTTATCATCACAGACCTCTGACTGCTGAGGTCAGCAGACAGGCTGAATCTCTCTTCCCCCACATAGGGACGCCTTTGGGTAAGATTTATACTGCCCCGAGGACTTTCTTGGAGACTCAGAAACCTCTATAGAACTGTTTTCCAACTTAGCACTTTTAGTAATTTGTAACCTTGATGCCTGTATATGCTTCTGCAGACAGTAGATTATCACCGGCAATCCACACAAATCTGTATTATTCCTGTTGTTTTATTAAAGTGCCTTATTCAATTATTAAATTGCTGCACAGTTTCTCACTGGGAGCCACCTTATAGGCTGGGGAAATCCATAGATTGTGACTGGACAGAAGGTGCAGGGCACTATCAAGTGAATCCAGAATTAATGCACCCGGACTTGTAGTGCCACATTGAGTAAACTGTGCCTGTCCGTAACTAGCCACACCATTTCCCAGTGGACACCACTAAATTCTGCAGGTTTAGCTGTGAGAGTCCACAAATCCTGGGCAGATGGGCGTGCAGCGCACTATTGAGTGAATTTGCTGTTGTGGGACTCGTAGTGCTGAATTGGGCATCACTCAAGATCTAAGCCCAGCCGCCCCCAGCTCCTCTAATATCCAAGGGTAAGCTGGAACACAAGGGGGTTTATTTCCTGCCAAATTAACACCGTCTTAACGCAACAGCATATTAAGTGCCATATTCAGATTTCAGTCAGTCACAGCCCAATGCGTAGCTCAGGTTTTTTGTGTAATTTAAATGAGGGATACGTTACTGGACTGATATTTGTAGAATGGAAAATTCATAAGCTGCTTTCCACAGGTCCACATCATTTTTTTTGCACACAACTAGCAGTAGTAGATATTGTTGTAGTGACATTTCATCTCCTTTATTACATGCATGGCTTAAATTCTAGTTTTCTCTCTGCTATCCTTAAAGACAGAAAAAGAAAAGAACTTTTCTGAAGCCAATCATCCCCATAAAGAAATATCCTCCAGTTTGCAAAATACCAAGAGTCATTATAGTGAGGGACCTGTATGTCTTTCTGAATGCATAGAAAAGAGGTTCCAGCATATCTTATCTTTACTGAAGAATGAATTGATGTAGAATCACTAAAATACCCAAGCATGCTTAATAAAAAAAAAGTCTTGTTCAAACCAAAACCACTGTAGCAAGTAGATATTCAGAGAATTACCACTACAGTCAGTAAAAGATACTCTATAACTAAAATGAAGTAATGTTCCCAAAGAAGAATACCCAAATCCTAAAACCAGTTATCGACAGCAGCTAACTAACCTCCACAGAAGAAAATAAAGGCAGTAGAAAAAGTAATAAAAGCTACAGATATACTTAGAACATAAAAGCTATGGGCTCTGAATACGACAAATCAGGAGACGAAAGTTTAGAAAAAGGAAGATTTCCAGTTCAGAGACTGAAGCAGAGGAACAAGCAACATTCTCACAAAATAGATAGATACACATTTGAAAACAGAGACACAAGAAACAGTAATTCACTCACCACAGTGTCAGCATGCTGAACAGGAAGCAGAATCATACTTAAGTCTTCTAGGCCATTTTCTGGCAAGTAAATACCTAATGCTTAAATCCCAGGATCCTTACTGTTGTCTGTACTGTAATCCTACAGACAATACAACCAGCTCCTTCCTTTTCCATAGTTGCCTACAAAATGTGTCACAGAGATCCGGTCACCCCCACTGAACTTGAACTCCGTGGCCTTGAATGTTCTTACTGAATAAGCAGTTTCTAGCCATTGTGAGCATAACTAAACAATTGTGTATGTAGATCATAGAATCACGGAATCACGGAATTGTAGGGGTTGGAAGGGACCTCTGGAGATCATCTAGTCAAAACCCCCTGCCAAAGCAGGTTCACCTAGAGCAAGTTGCACAGGAAAGCATCCAGGTGGATTTTGAATTATCTCCAGAGAAGGAGAACTCCACAACCTCTCTGGTCAACCTGTTCCAGTGCTCTGTCACCCTCACAGTAGAGAAGTTTTTCCTCATGTTTAAAAGGAATCTCCTGTGTTCCAGCTTTTGCCAGTTGCCCCTTGTCTTATCACTGGCCACCACTGTAAAGAGTCTGACCCCATTCTCTTGACACCTGCCCTTTAGATATTTATCAACATGAATAAGGTCCCCTCTCAGTCTTCTCTAGGCTAAACAGGCCCAGCTCTCTCAGTGTATCCTCATGAGAAAGATGCTCCAGCCCCTTAATCATCTTTGTAGAATGCCTCATCCAACCTGGCCTTGAACACTTCCAGGGAGGGGGCACCCACAACTTCTCTGGACAACCTGTTCCAGTGTCTCACCACCCTCATTGTAAAGGGTGTTGAATGTGATGTGTTTATTGATGAACACTAAAACATTTTTTTGACTTTTAACAGAAATATTATTGTTTGTTGTCACTTATCATTTATCATATTGGATGTTCTGCAGGTTGGTCACAACCTCCTGTTTAACGTTATTGGAAAAAAATATTTCAGAAGAACTGTAAGCTATCATGCAAAAGATCATTATGCAATTATTCATATAAAAATTATTCATATAAAAATCCAAAGGTGATTTTTTTATAGCTTCCAATAATTTATGTTTAGGTAATGTGCTGAAGTGCAAAACTATACTTATTTTTTTGAAATATATAAAAGGACTATTGTCTAGTATTAGTATTCATACTTTTATTTTTGAAATTATGCAAAGATTTTGGGCTTGGTATTTTGTTGTATCAGGTTCTACATATCTAAATTATATGATTTCTTTTAAAAAATTCTTCCTTTTATCAGTTTTCAAGTATACTACCTATTTTACTTGCACTTGTAATATGAGAAATGATAAACAGAAATGCATGTAACACTGACTTTTCTGTCACTCACCCTTCTAAATTGTGCAGTCCTGATCTTGTTAGTCTGTCTTCCTACAGATTGTATTTTACAGCACTAACCATTCTTTCCACCCTTTTCTTACCCCAGTACTGCTTTAATCAAGATAAGACAGGTGCATTTTCTCTTCAGGGAAATGGGAAATTAATGAATATAAGAAAAACAAACAACCAACAACCCAACCCTATGGTTTGGGATAAAACACAGAAATTCTGAAAGTTCAGAAATTTAAAGAATCACAACAATATTTCTTAATTTGTATTTCCTATAGGAATGTTGATAGTACATTGAACTTTTCATGGGCTTTTTTTTCCCCATGCCTACTATATAGAGCTTTTCATCTTCCACTTCCATTAACTTGGATCTAACAGATACCCTTAACCTCCTAAGTTTTTTACTGTCAATAGATCAGCCTATCCAACCTTGTGAGGCCAACCTCATATTTTGCATTTTCTACCATAAAACTTCTGCTGTCTTAATCCTGAAAAAATTCTAAATCAGAAAATTATACTATTGAATAGATTTATGTACATATTTCACTGTCAGCGGGTTTCCATAATAAGACAATGACCAAGATAGACACCGAGTTCCACAGAAACAATCTTTAATGTCACATAAGTATTTCTTTTGTTGTGGAAATGTAACCATATGTAACCACAACCAAAGCCAACCATATAGTTGTTTATATTTTTGCTAGCCATAATATACAGAATTAGGGAAAAAACTAAAGACATATCACCTTAGTATTCAGGTGGCATAGATCAGAAACAGTACTCTGTTTAAAAATATACAAGTCTACTGATGAAATTCAGAGCAGTAACATTGGGGAAAGTGAAAACAAGCCTGTGGAAGTTAACTTTTCACAGGATATGAGCTGCTCCTCCTGTCAAGGCTGGACTGAGCAGAAATAAACTGCATTGATCACTTTTACTCCATACATTTATAGCTCACTATTTTTAGCTCTGTCCAACGTGAGCGTGGTCACATAGATGCAAAAACAAAACTAGTGGCTCAAATTTAATCAACCTCAGGAAAAAAACAAACCAAAAAGCCGTTGTTTCTACATTTTTCTTACAGTGTTCCTGAGCAGAAAGGTGCATAGCACACAGTAACTTAACTTCAGGGTGTAAACTGCTTCCCTGCTATTGTCCAGTTTTACATAAAAGAAATCTCAGATTAGACGAGGTTGGTGGAACAATGCTTTGTTCCCCTCTGACTCACTTAGCCTATGCTAAATCAGGCTGCTGTAATGCAGAGACACAATACTGCTGGATCACAAGTCGGTTGTCTGTGGTCATCCATGTTAATCCTGAGTTGTGGTGATTCTACTACATCTGAATAAATAAACTCCCACAGTGCTGAGCCAGGTTGTGTGTATGTACTCAAGGCACAAGTTCCCAGTTGCTCAGGTATCCACACTTCTTTTCCTCCTATAGAAATACACATGCTGTTCAGCTTGTGGTTTTGCTTCCCTCAAAGCCCTTCTAGATGTTCTCAGAAGACACATTTTTCAGGAGACTTTTTATATCTTTTCATACATATGGATGAAAATACAAAGACTTGAGTGTCATACTGAAAATTTTACAGCTGCTATATATTTCAATGAAAATAAGCCTGGAAAAACTCTAGAAGAAACACTTAGCAATTAAACTACCATTAAAACGTTCAGCACAGAGAATGCCCCAAAAGCTCTTAGAGAGTTATAAGACCAAAAGAGCTGTTTAATAAGCATATATTTGATGGTGGTAATCTTCTCTGTTTGTGAAACATTCAAACAGTCTTCTTCTGATGCACAATAGAAATAATGAAATGAATAATGTGTAAAATCAGAACAGACCTGTCTAACCAAATGATGTGATTACATTATAAACAAACAGTAGAAATGGCGTAAGAAGTAAGAAAATATAACCTCACATACCGATTGTAGAAATCATCTCTGTAGTAATCATAATCAAAGACATAACCACTGTGGAAAAACAGAGAAAAACAAGAATGAACTGGTTTATAGAAAATTACACACTGATTAAAACTTTTGTGCAATATTGGCTTACTCTCACATTCCAAGTCCTTCTACAAAGTCCTTCCACTTTTCCACAACATACATTGTACATTATGTTTGTCAATACTGTTGTCAGCTATCACTGTAGTATATTTGGAAATGCGAAGTCTGGGGCACACAGAACAGTGTAAATAGTTGACAGCACATATAGAAAAGATTTAACACAGCACAACAACTCTGTAAATAGAGCATCATTATAGTGTAATTCCCTGAGTGATCAAATGAAGTGAACACTCTAATACTGCAGCCTTCTTTGCTGGGCTAACAGCATGATCGGTGGACTAGGAAGACTGTTAAATACATTAAAGATTGATAAATGAGTGTGTAGGTGAGCAGAAATAAGACAATGAATTTAATTTATGCAAAACATGAAAAGAGTTGAACTGTTGGTCCTTGAGTTCACCAAATCTTCTTTCATTGTAAAGAGAAAATAAGAAAAAGTTAGGAAAATGAACAATGCAAGAAACAGTGTTACAGAGATGCCTTTCCTCTCAGGTTCAGAATAGGATACACATACCAGCCTGGGAAAAGACAGACAACATCAGGGGAAACAAATATAGGTAGGAAATTGCAAAGGTCCAGGGGAAAACTATTTTTGAGCTGTCAATTGCAAAGTCAATCCTAGATTGATTTTCCTAGTTTTATATTCCATTAGCAACTTTCTACCTTTATGGTGAAGAAACAGCAATGAAGTCCATCTATCTCACACATCCAAAAAAATAGAACCAAAGAGCTAATAAATGATCTGCATGGAAAAGTTACAAGGGATTTGGACTCTGCCTGATGAAGGAATAGTAACACAAACCCTAAGTTTTTTCACTTGCCTGAGAGGTACAATTATGAATAGTAAAGGATGAGAGGCATGAAGAAAGTATCACAAAAGAAAAGGAGAAGCTTTAAATAATTAAGCAGAAAGGTAGAAAGAGAGAGAGTTAGAAAGGACAAAGCACAGAAGAAAATATTAACTGAAAATAAAGTGGTGTGAATGATGGTAGCTACACATTAATGAAGTTCGTCTTCACGGGGTATGGACTTGTGGATAATTTCTGCTCTTGAACATTGAGCAAAATGTCTTCAATCTTTTTTTTAGTGCATAATTTGAAGAATGGGTCAAGAATACTGGAGTTCTTTGAGTTTGTTTTTCCTTATCATGTAATGCCTTTTCTCCCTTTTCTTCCCTTTGCTATGTTTCAGAGGCTGACCACTTAAAAGGGGGAAAAAATAGAGTTAGAAAGCTTAAGTTATCTCAATAATAATTTCATCCCAGTGTTTTGATTTTGAAAGCCTGTAATTTCCCCTTTCTGCAGCTGGCAAAAACATCCATCAAAGGAGCAGGAGGTCAAGGAGCAATTTCCACCTCTGCCACATCTACCTCAATGCAAGCATCCAAATGCAATTAATAGGATAAATTGTACTGTCTACCAACATAATACTGGACCAGCAGTGAAGATCATGAGATTTGCCAGGTAAGAAAGCCAACTATAGTCCTCTTGCTAATTTATTTGAGAAAATAAAGCCCTATATGCATTTTATATGAAACATTTCCTATATAAAACAGCCCTGAGAGATTAGAACCCAGCAGAATATAAACTGTATGTGTAAGAGGAGGCAAAATAACATTAAGCAATAATAGTTAGACCTTGTAGAACAATCATGTTTCTGTATCTTACCTTAACACAAAACTAGGAAAAAATTTCCCTAAACTGTGCAACACTTATTTTGTCTTTCACTCCACATGGCAATAAGAGGTAACAGGTAGAAAACCTATTATTTAATTTACAGCTATTCACAGTTTGCTAGTGGTTTTATTTAGCTAAATGATTAATAGCTGCAGTAAGCCCATACTTAACATTCAATTTGTGTTTTTAAGTAAAAGATAACAGACAATTTGAGGAAAAAAGGTTAAATTTAAAAGGCCTGTCACATGAAACCTTTCACCTGGAGTGACATTAATTTAATTTGCATAAAGACCAGATAAATTCACTTTTTCAAGGTTGAATACCATGAAGATGATGAAGAATAATTCACTTTGCACCAGCTAACGTAAGGCTGAAGGGCAGATATAACTTTCTGCGGCAGCTCAGCTCTGGCCTACAGGCCACAATAAGGACTGCTGTACCTTCACTGGGCTTTCAGAGCGTGGAGCTTACTTTTCATATACATATGTCATGATGACAGAGATGTTTCAAAGCCATATCCAGGAGCACAGGAGGGAGAGACCTGCCGGATGTCAACTGGAAATACCACACAGCTGGTACAAACAGGTCCAGAGGAGATTATTCTGGGACTTATCAAAAACCACCTGGAAGACAATGCAGTCATTGGTTCCAGCCAGCATGGGTTAGTAAGAGGAAAGTCCTGCTTAACGAACCTAATTTCTTTCTGTGATAAGGTTACCC